GATATAAAGCTCAACTTTCATAACAAAGTTAAGTTTTAAAGTTCACATCTTCGTTCTTTAATTTTATGAAAGCAAGTAATTACATTTTCAGTCTTAACATTCTCTACAACTTTCTTTTCTACGCTACAAATCAAAGTATCATTCATAAAATCATCATGTATTCTATTACGCAAATCGGTCTTCAAGAACTTCATTGCAGAAAAAACCGTTCAACGGTTGCGGTTGCAACGTGCAAAACCAAAGTTAGTTTTAATAATCTATAAACCAAAAAAAAAGAGGTGTTTCCCAGTTTCCACCAACAAACGAGAGAGGTCTGCAAATTCCCTTCAAGTTGAAAAATCTCTCATCATGGAGCAAAGAGTGATAATAGATATCAAGTTGCCCATTAAGTTGTACCCTTTCTGAATCATCAAAATCGTTTTTGTATATCTCGCTTAGCTTTAAGAAATTTGTTTTATCAAAACTAGAAAATAAGTCACAAGGACACAAAGCCGCCATGTTCTCCATCAACTCCGTGCCAACTTCACTAAATCTATCCCCAAATTCTTGAATTTTCATATCCAAAATTGTGTTAAAAATCACAACTTCAAAATGATGTTGATTAGTCTTATTGGTCCTTCGCTTTCGTGGAGTAACATAATATTCCGACATGTCCACAATTCCAATACTATGTTTTTCACAAAAAGCACATAACTTCTTCCAAATTTGTGGAAACCCATCTTTTCTAAAAGCTAGCAATGCTTTCTTTGTCCCTTTTACTAACGAAACCGCTTCCAAAATATCTTGATCTTTTTTTTTGAAGATGCATCGAAAAGGTATCTGTGAGGCATAGAATTTCCAACATCAAGTGTAAAAGAAACACGAAATCAAGTGTCTTGAAATATGACAAAATACTCTTTGCTTGATTACGATTAGATAAAGTATACCCCTCCTCTTTGACATATTTAAGGACCACTACAACTTCTGCAAATAAATTCAACAAAATTACAATTGTTCTAAAATGTGAAGCCCATCTAGTATCTCCAGCTCGAACAAGAGAAATCTTTTGATTCAACCATCTTGCTGTTTCAGTTTCACCAATACCAATTTCAGCTGTCATTCTTTCTTTTTGCATCTCTCGTATCATATATTTTCTCTTACAATACCCACAAACGACAGTAATCACCAAAGCTAGTTGTTTAAAGAATTCATCAACATCATTATGTTTTTTTGCAACCGCCACAACCACTAATTGAAGCTGGTGTGAAAAACAATGTATATAATGTGTGGTTCATTTAAAATCAAAGATTTCAAACCATTGAATGCATCACTCATATTACTTGCTCCATCATAACCTTACCCCCTCACCTATATATTTGAAAAATTAATAAAAAAATATAAGAAATAAAAATAAAACTAATATCGTATTAAAGTTTAAAGGATTAAATATTATATGATTTCTCACCTGAGCCATATTCGAGTTGTTGTTGGAAAATACGGTATCGATGGCAGATTTAAGAGTCAAAGAAGATGTATCCAACAAGTGAACAACTCCAATAAATCTTTCCTTTACAATCTCAAGTCTATCAACATATCTCAAACTATAGTCATTTGTTCTTTTTTGGAAACATCACTAGACTCATCAACTAATATAGCGAACACATTTTTACCAATTTCATCGCAAATAGACTTGATTATCTCTTTTGAAAAGCAATTGACAATATCTTTTTGAATCGTCGGAGAAGTCAACTTTTCATTTTTTGGAGCATTTTCTAAAGTAACTTTAAAAATCTTCTCATTATCTTCTCTAATCAAATATAAGACTTCAATGAAAAGTCCTTTATTATTAGACTTTTCCATCTCATCATGTCCACGAAATGGTAATGCATATTTCAATAAAAATCTACAACTACGGATTATAGCACGTAATCGAATTTCATAATTACTTTTCTCAAGTTTTGTTTGCTTATGCAAGACTTCCCCAATAGATTGGTTTTTTCTCAATACCAAATCACATTTTTCTTGGGCCTTATGGTGATAACTTCGAATATACCCATATGTTTCTGGGATGAGCCTTTTTTACTCCAATTGTCAAAGCCTTCGGTTATAAATGCATCTCTTCCACCTTGTTCCCCTACCATGTCTCCAAACAAGTAGCAACAAAAACAATATGCCTTCTTATTTTTTATGCTATACTCTAACCATGGAAAATCAGTAAACCATTACACAACAAAACGTCTTGGCTTATTACTAAATAATGTATATTCAAAACTATGCCCCTTTGGTTGATAAGACCCTTTAATCAAATATGCCCTCCTTATTTCATCCCTTTGATTAGGATTATAAGATATAATATTTGGCCTATCTCCCGGGTCCGAAGGAAGATCATTCAAATCAAAAGATTGTGTCACTTTTGGTTTTTGAGTAGGTTCATTAGATTGTGTTTCTTGTGGTTTTGGCATAGGTTGATTAGTTTGTGGAACTTGGTTACTTTCATTAGCTCTATTTTTTTTGGAAGTTCCTTCACTATTGTTGTCTCCAACATCTAAATGTCTTTTGAAAAAAGTTTTAATAGCAACCCATAATCAAAATATATGAACTATAAACTTGATTTCAGGTTTCAACAACAGTCAACAAATAATAACCTACAATCAAATTATCATTTATCAAGATATATCAACTATAAACTTCATTCCAAGTTTCAACAACAAATGAACAAATAGCAACCTACAATCAAATTATATCAACTATAACTTGATTTCAAGTTTCAACAACAAAAAATCATTAAGTATTAACCCTAAGTCCCTAATTTAACAAAGTTAATTGGTAATTTCTAATTTTTCAAGCTTAATGACAAAAAATTGGAATTTGAATTAACCTAAATACATAATAGGATTGAGTATTTTTTTACTAACTTGTTTCATTGTGATGGAGGAGCCGATGAGGAGGTCGTCAGAATTCTCCCTCCGACAAGCGACGACAATTGAGAAGACGACTAAGGGTTACGTGCGATGAAGTTTGACTGTCGACGATAGGATGAGAAACAGAAGACGAGTCGACAGATCACATAAAGATTAGAGTTTACGTCCGATTTTCTTTTCATTAAACTAATTGGGCTTAATACCTTTTTGTTTCAATAAACTAGTTGGTGTGGGCTTAAAAATTTTGGACCATTTGGGCTAGTTTGTATTTTGGACCATTTAGAAATAACATGAAATTTTTTAGGATAGCCCAACTTTTTTTCCGATATAAAACCCCAAACATAAAACGAATTTTTTGGAAAAAATTAACACTACTAAATTTTTTTTGAGGGGTATCCCAGGATCTATAGTGGATCTGCCACTGTTTCTACATGAATTTTATATCACTACCTTAGTTTTATATCTTTAGAATTTAAGAAATTTAGTTTTCTATGGCTTCATCCTATCCCCCATCCACCCTCCTTCAATAGCAATAAGCCTGATGTCACTCCTCAACAGTTTGATTTTGAGATTGTAAGGGAGGACGGAGTCGAGGTTGGGTTCGCCGGCGGTTTAGGGCGGTACTAGCGGTACGCCATGTCATGGCCTTTCAATGGCGGGTTCTAGCGGTTTAGGGAGGTGGGAGCTCTTGTGCGGGTTGGTGAACCCGCTTCAACCTTTACTCCTCATCCATTGAGGACTTGGAAAGGAGATATGGCGTATGTCACAGCCTTTACCTTCACCGAAATCTTCCCCATCGTTGATTGCTCCGATCTTATCAAAGAGTTCTCTGAATCTCTTTCAATCTAATTGAGCTTCCGATTGAAAATGACAAACAAGTAAGAGAGTCGTAGGGGATTTGATCCAAGTCTCTGGTTCGTTCTTTCTGGCCCAAATTTTATCAAATAACCTTTCGGTGAAAATAAGCTTATGAGCCCAAATTTTATGAGAAAATATTTGAATTACAGTATTAAAAACATTATAAATTAATTTGTATGTGTATAAGTATCAAAAATAGTGGCTTGACAATGGGTTGAATGAGTTGGAAAGATAAGGTTTTTATGTATTGTGGGCTGAGAAAGATTGAAGAGAGATGAGAGAGAAAAATTGATGTGGAACTGATATGGCAGTGGAGTAGTAAGTTGGGAGGGAATGACTCTCTCCTCCTTACCGTTTTTTCATGCCAACATGGATGAAGGAAAAGACATGATCTTAGATTTTAAATTAGAGGTCATTCATTCTAAGAGTTCATCAATAAAGAGAAACATTTCGAGACTTTGAAATTGAAGGGTGTTTCTTCTGGTGATATTTAGAATTTTTCCTTCATGTACTTTTCTATAGAGATTTCCACTAACAATGATCTGGTGAAGGCGGTTGAATGGGTTATGGGTATATCAAGAACTGAATGAAAAATGAAAAATCAGGAGCTATGTATATTTATGCACAAGTCGTAGATATTTTGTCTCTTCAAATTTAGTTATTGTAATGAAATTTCCTATTTTCTTTGTTATTGGCATATTGTTTGGAATTTAAAATAGTTGCATTACGTTTTTCTTTTGAAAGAAAAACGAAAACTACCTCATTTTATATTTTATCCAATTAGTAGACTTTATAATCCATTTAATTTAAATAGAAACTAAATTGTCCTTTTTAAATCATGTCATCAAAAAAAATGGAAAAAAATAAAAGTATTTTGTTATTTAGCGCAAAAAATAACATAGCAAAAGAAAGTATCTTATAGTTTGATATTTTAGCACATCGGAATATCCGATACCGAAAGATATAACGCTAGTTCTCATTACTTTTTATTATATATTTATTTTTTGAGTTGTTAAAGAAAACTAATTATAAAAATATACTAATAATAATTATGAATTTAGATGAATATTAAAATTTTAGTTGCCATGTGCAGAAATTTTATTCTCATTTCATAGTTCGAATCAGACTTTGTTAAAGATATACTATATATTTTAGGTATATTTCCTTTTATCTTTTATAATAAACGTTTCTATCATACAAATAGATTAAAAAACAAAACTTAATAAACGTTTTTATCAAGAATTGCGCTTTCAGAATAAACAATCTTGTTTGATCTAATCTAAGTATCAATTAAAATAAATACAAGAAAACCATTTAAACAATATCCTCTCCCAAAATGCTTGATATTTACCTCATTTGTTGTGAAATTGATGTGTGAAACTGAAAATGATGTTATAAGGTATCTCGAACTGTAGGAAAGCTTGTTCCCTCTTTAACATGGCCCAATGAACTTGGCCATAGCCATTTTATAATGCTTGGGCCTAAAACCTGTAAACAACAAAAACGCATTATTATTTGTACTCCGTGCATCAATACATGTACCTTTGCATATTAACAGAAATAGAAAGGTTCCATGTCTTTTCCACAACAAAACTCGTCCCACCTTTTTTGATGCGACAAAATTATTACTTTTTTTTTTTTATCATTCTAATCATAATTTTCAAAGATCTTGTACCCAGAAATCAAATTTTCAAAGATCTTCAAATTCATTAAGGGAAAAAGTGAAAAAAAAAAAAAAAAAAATAGAAAAAGAAAAGTACCATAGTGATATTTCTGTATGCGCCAACATCATAAGGATGGTTATAAATCTGCCCGGATTTTTTAGCCAACCATGCTGCCCGAGTCCCTTCATAATACTGATTAAAAAAAAAATCAATTCTTTTTTATCAAATTGGAATATGTTTAATTAGACACGTAGTTTAAGAGACATGTTTTTGATTGATAACCAAATGGGTTAATCTCAAAAAAGACTTTATATTTTATGTTTTTTCCGCATTAAACCTGAAATTTATTTTTTGCTTGAAAAAGAGCTCGTAGTTTTTCATTTTTTTCCGTAAAAAACCCTCAACTTTGTATTTTTTTTTTTCTGAAAAAAACCTCAAACTTCTAAATGCTTCCAAATAAACTCTCAACTTTTTTTGTTTTTCGCAAAAACCTCACATTTTACAAATTGTTTTGGAAAAAAATGACTAAAAGGGCCAGATCGAAAAATATGAAAAGAAATACTCAGGCAAAAAAATAAGTTTAAGGTTTAATCCGGAAAAAACACAGAATACAAGGTGTTTTATGAGATTAATCCTTTTTTTTTCCAAAAAAATTGTAAAATGTGAGGATTTTTTCAAAGAAAACTAAAAAAGTTCAGGGTTTATTCGGAAGCATTTAGAAGGTTGAGGATTTTTTTCGAAAAAAAATACAAACTTTATGGTTTTTACGGAAAAAAATGAAAAAATATAAGGTCTTTTTCAAGCAAAAAGTAAATTTGAGGTTTAATCTGGAAAAAACACAAAATATAAGGTCTTTTTTGAGATTAACCCTAACCAAATCTCATAATTTAATAACTGTTAAATGTATGATTATGCAAACAATGCTTCCTTTTAAGACCAATGTAGGCAATATAGGCAATGTAAAAAATATACTTTATTTTTACCCTTAAGAGCAACGTATTGCTATTATTGGTAAAAAAAATATGTGCATTACTATTATGGGTGAAGAAATGTAAGCTAATTGCTTTCTATTATAAGTAAAAAATAAAGTACATTGCCTATATTGGTAAGAAATAGAAAATTACATTGCTATTTTCCGAAAAGTAAAACATTATTGCATATATTAGTAAACAGATTAAACATTGTTGCATAATTTAGTAAAAAAGTGAAACATATTTGCATAAATTAAAAAGGGAAGCAATTTTTTAACCTCTATTGTGGTCATATTGTGGGTCAACAAGTATATATGCCACCCCAAGAGTGTTCCAAGAGTCAAACTTAAGAGAGAAATCACTGCCCCTGATGTAATCTGATAATTATAAACTAATAAGTCTTTTAAAATATAAGAGAAACATTTCAAAAGGTAAAATTGTTGTAAGTTTAATGCTAACAAGAAATATGAAAAGTTAAACAAAAGAAATGAAAACAAATATATAATCTTACATAAAAGGTTTTGATGTGAGTTGTTTGTGTAGAATCCCAATCCTTTTGAATCCCACAACCAATGATTATAACCTAGTAAACCGAAACGATTAAAAAAAATGTATATTTCATTGAAAATAAAGAAAGATTTATACTTTATAGTTTATACATACCGAAGAATATAAACTTGAGATAGTTCCATATGCCACTAGAAGAAAAAAGGATTTATAATTCCTTTGTCCTACACAATTGTTTATCCATGTGCAATGATGATCCTAAACAAAAGTTAAAGAATGAGAAGATAACATGATGAAAAAAAATATTTGACTTTTTAGGTCAATACATAGATTATGTTATTGTGATTTCAATCTTTCATACCCACCATTTTCAAGACACACCTTCTGCAAACTCGACAATGGTGTGCTCTTGGAGGCTTGTATGCAGGACATTTGTCGCATCTCTTTTTAAGTGCTTCCTGAAATACGCATCGTATTGTATCAAGAAAAAGATAAGTGTATGAACTATTTATTTGGTTGAATTCCTTGTGATTTTGATTAGGTAGCAAGTATTCTAACAAGTATTCTACAGCGATAAAACTTATCCAATTGTATGTTTGTGCGATTTCAATGTATTCATAGATGATTCTTTACCTTGAACAAAGATTTTAACCTTGATCATCACCCTTTGGGTCCATTTAAACACAAATAATCACCAAATTCAATTAACATAAGCTATTCTAAAGAGAAAACCGATATGGGTCTAATCAAAATATGTATGACGAATTCGAAGGGGATATGAATAAAACGTAAATCTTACAGCGTCTCTCGATTCTTGATCTGAGCCATCATTGTCCTCAATATCAGGGAAATACCCAGATGGGACACCACCAGGATCAGTGAGAACGGAGACGAAAAACGAGAAAAGAGTGAACGATGCCAACGAAGTGAAGATCACGGCATTTATCCAACCTGCTGGGCTCTGTAACCCTAACCAATCATCAAGAAATACGAAAACCGTACCGTAATAGACCATTTCCATTAGTATCAAAACTGCTAGTATAGGGAACGATACGAATCTTCGCCATTTCATCTCGCTTGATTGCTTGATTTTGGGGAAGAGTACAGGGTTGAGTCGGAATGGGTTTTGCCCTTTGCCTGTTGAAATGAAAGAGAAATTTTGTAATCGGGTCAATTTTGTATTAATTTTGCATTCAAGTATGAAATACAAAATTGTATTAATAACTTTGTAATCTTCTTTGATCCTATTAACATAAAAATCTTTGACTTTTTATTTATAATTAAGCATAAAAAATCCCGTAGATGTTTGTAAAATATGTTGATTATTTAGGGTGTAAACCATACTGAGTTAACTCATGAGAAATTTGATTCGGCAAATTTAGGCTTGAGTCGAGCTTCAAGCTTGAATATTTTAGTCGAGTTAAGCTTCAAGTTTGACAGGATTCGGTTCAACTCGGCTCGTTACACCTCACCCCAACTTCATTTTGTATCCAACTAAGTAATATCATAATTTAATACACTTTATTTTATCAATGTTTAATACAATAAAACTACATATCATAGAAATCTGATAAATTAACACTCGTTTATTTAATAAATTCTTTAAGATAATATTTTTTACGGGTCCCGATTCGGGGATATAATGTCAAATAAACAAGTCATTAAAATTATAAGATCATTTTCGGACCACATATGAAATATAAATTACTAATGTATCATATACTATATACTGCATAAGGAATTATTAATAGATATTCTATATCGTTTAAAAATTATTATATAGTTTTAACAAATTATCAATTTAACATTCTATCCCCCCGAATCGGTCTGCCAAAAGCATGATCTTAAAGAATTTATTAGACAAAACTACAAATTTGGCCCTTGTGGTTTGTAAAAAACTTTGGATGGGGTCAAAAATCTTTTCGACTTGCATGGATGGTCCAAAATCAGAAACTTTCCGTGATTTTAGTCCTAAAAAGGTTAAAATGACTATTTTGCCCTTATTATTTCTATTTTACATTTTTTTAATTTGTTTTAGTATTTAAATAATCATAAAAAATAAAAAATAAAAATTTCCACTCTAGCTGTAAATTCGACGACCTCCTTATCAGAGATGCATCTCTAAGTAGAACGGGTCCGACGACCTTTTTATCACCGTCGACCCTAGCAATTCCAACATCCAATTTGGAGGTTTTATGCACAATCAAGAACAAACATGGCTGCAGGTATGTCTATTGGAGAATACGAGATTTTACAGAATTTAGATCGATTGAATGGAGCAAGAAAAAGCAGTGATGCTATTGGTTCTGATTTGGGGTATCGAAAACGGTGTTGGTTAATTTCTTCCTAACCTCCATTCATCCACACCGATGTTCAGACATGAATCCCCTCTCCCTTTCACATGCAAAATCTTACTTTAACCTGCATCATCTTCCATTTCTCTATCGACATCTTCCTGATTCAAAACTCATATACACTAATGAACACACATGCATAGATACACACACAAACACTCTACAATCAATTTGCAGGTTTGAATCTTAACTTTACAAGCCCTAGATATGCAATATCCATGGAAGTCAAGCCTAGAATTTACACGACCCGTGTTGAATCGATTCATCTGGGTTCATTTGGACCTTGAACATGTGATTGAAGGGTAAGGCTTCCGTGTCTCTCCTATCTTCTTCTTGACCAAGACACATATCTGGATTAATCAGATGAAAAGATTCAGAATATGGTCCATCCATAATGCATTCATAGATTGAATCGATTTGAGCATGAGATTAATAGGTTTATCTGGGTTCAGAATCGCCTCCAGATTCAAATCGGAAAGATGGAATAACACCAACATCCACAGTCATGGATTGAATCGATTATGGGGAGTTATGGCATTCGAGGGCTAATCGGGACAAATTGCGAACCAAATGTGGCTACGGCGGTGGTCGACAATGGTGCCGATGACCATGGGTTTAGAGGATCATGGTGGTGTCATTGGGTTTAGGGAGGAGTATACGAAGGGAGAGGAAGAGTCTGAGTCGTGGTCTTCTTGGTCATCGGAAAGAGAGAGAAAGAGAGAGAGAGAGAGAGAGAGAGAGAGAGAGAAGTGGGTCCATTCTTTTCTTTTCTATTTTTAATTGATAAAAGATTAAAATAAAAATACAAAAAATACAAAAAGGAAATTAGAAGGGTAAAATCGTCCTTTCAGGTTTCCCTAGGACCAAAAACACATAAATTTCTTAATTTTAGGACTAAAACCACAAAAAGTATTCGATTTTGGACCTTCTGTTGGGAATATTAGCGTTTGTGGTGGAGATCTGGATACCGACTTGGATCGTGATATCACTTTCCGAACTGATATTTCTACCCTATGTCTGGGTTACAAGAAATTCAGCCTAGGATACAGCGCGACCCCAGCCAAGGGCTCTGCCCCTTGGACCCCGCTAGGGGCACTGCCCCTAGACCCCGCCAAAGGGGCGCTGCCCCTTTGGAAACCCCGGACCCGGGGGCGCTGCCCCCGGACCCCCGACTAGTCGTCGAACTGGCTTCTAATTCGATCTTATACATGCGTGCACTCCGCACAACCCCGCACATATAATAGAATACAAATTTTGAAGCCTCTTAGCTCACATGTTAGTTCCAGTTACTTAAAATGACATGGTGACACTAAAATCACCAACACCTTCCACGCAAGTCGGAAAACTTTTTGGACTCTATCCACAGATTTTTGTAAACCACAAGGACCAATTTTGTAGTTTTGTCAATTTATTAAATAATCGAGTATTAGTTATGCTATGAAGATTTTCTTTACAATTATTCAAGTTTGTAAAAAAAAACGTTCAACGTTAGCTAGCCTGATGTGGTGTGGCGTGGTCTGTGTGTGTGTGTGTGTGTTGGGGAGGGTGGGGTAAGGTATTAATCGGTACCTTAAATAGCTAATTGTTTGAATTTTAAAATATTAAATATGACTAATATCATAACAAAGTTCGTAAATATCACTAATATAATAATAAAATAGGTTGATATAATTAATAAAACAATAATCGTTCCTTAAATAATTTTTATTAAGAGAGAAATTCTTCAAAATTATTAAAGTTTGATGTCTGTGTGTATGTGTGAGACAGTGGGGGGGGGGGGGAGGAGTTAAGGTATTAATCGAGACCTTAAACTGTTAATTCTTTGAATTTTAAAAGATTAAATATGACTAATACCATAAAAAAGTTCATAAATATCACTAATATAATAACAAAATAGGTTAATATAATTAATAAAAAAAATAAGCATTCCTTAAATAGTTTCTATTGAGATAGAAATTCTTCAAGTTATTGAAATTTTATCGACTGCTACTGCTTCACTAATTATGTAGGCAAAGATTAATCATTTGACATCTTCTAGTCGGTGGAGTAACGTCTATGGACTGATTAAGGATTTATCAGGACCTAGTGGAGATTTTTACTGTTGGGTTTTTATTCAAAAATTTGTTTCATAAACACAAAGATAGCAACAGAAGACTTTAATTTTGAACAAAATAAAAGTAGCTTTATTCCCACAAAAAGATCATTTTGCAAGTCTTAGAAAGGTAAAACAACCATAGAAAGAAAAGTATTACAACCTTTTAAGAATTTTGTTCCTTTTGACAATTAGGAAGTTGATGAAGATGATTTTAAGCTCTAAAGAAGAAGCTCTCTAGAAGTATCCACCAAGCAAGATGAAACCACCATTAGATGCTAGTCATTCACTTGTAAAATATTGTTCTTAAGCTTTAAACCATATTCCAAAATATGCTTAAAGAGAAGCAACAATTTAAGCATTCACTTGTAGCACCAAATTGTAAAATAGAAGAGGAGAGGGAGGAGGCTTTTAACTTCGAAATTTGGCAACCCTTGGGAGCTCTTCTACCTCACGATTTTGGTCTCCAAAGGAAGAAGAAAAAGAAGTGCAAGAAGAATCATACTCTTTCATTAGTTTAGTGTTCTTTAAATACCAAAGCATGTAACAAAAACCCAAGACCAAAAAGAAAAAGAGGTACGACTTGTCTATCATGCATGGGAGACACAATAGACTAATGAAAAAACAATCTTATGCCCATTCCAAGCAATTTTCATCCAAATGATGATAAAGAGAGATAAGATGTGTCTTACACTCAAGCCATTAACTAGTAGTTGGATATGAACTAAGTTGGTTACTTAACGTGTCCAATATTTTGTACATAGCATAAATAATCATACCATATGATATATTACTACTTTTGTTCATTTTATTATTATTTCATAGAAATAATAATTTCCAATATGTTGATAAAATATTATTTCCCAAAATAATGTTTTTCCAATTAAGATACAAGTGTTGATATATTTATTAAGAATGAAATTATACTAATAAATAATCTATCAGTTGTAACTTGCTATAAGGTGTGACCATATATGATCATATGTTATTAGCAATATCATTCTATAATAAATCTTGGGCATATAAGATCTTTCAATTTCCCACTTGCACAAGACTCATCATAGATTGATATAGACAGTGGTGAACGTCTAGCAACATTTCACTTCCCCCAATAACATACGACGAAGAATGTCATTCATCAACATTCAAATCCCAAAAGCTCAAAGCTCCAATTGATGTATAAGGTAAGTTTATTAGTTACCCTTTGTTACAGACATCCAATTGAAGATGAGACTTGGATCGCAATCAATCTCCTGTACTGTTTGGCTTTGGGTAATGTGTGTTAGATGTCATCAATGAAAAAAATGACTAATCAATCGAGCATCAGCCTGCGTACCCGATTCATCAAATTCATAAATATTGCAGGCGTATTGGTGAGCCCAAATGGCATCACCACAAACTCGTAATGACCATAACGAGTCCGAAATGCGGTCTTCTCCACATCCTCCTCTCTAACCCTCATTCGATGATACGCTGACCTCAAATCGATCTTGGAGAACCAAGATGCACCGTGCAGCTGATCGAAGAGGTCATCAATTCGTGGAAGTGGGTAACGGTTCTTCATCGTCAACTTATTTAACTCCCAGTAATCAATGCACATTCGATGTGAACCATCCTTCTTCTTGATAAACAAAATCGGTGATCCCCATGGTGAAATGCTCGACCTAATATACTTCTTGACCAACAGCTCCTGAAGATGTAAGGGAAACTCCTGCATCTCAGGTGGTGCCAATCAGTACGACACCTTAACAA